TTAAGAAATCACTTTCACTAGTAATAAATATGTTAATATAAAAGAAAAATATAAAATATACCAAAGTTATTATAAGACAGGGATTTATACAGTTGATATAGTGGTGTTTGACTGTAATACCAGGTAGTTAGAAGGAAAAGCTAGAAGAATTGCAAGACCAAGGTCAGCCTGAGCAACGTAGTGAGATGCTTACTCAAAATAAACTTTAGAAAGGACTGTGAATGTGGTTGAGCACTATGACACACCTGCCTTCAATCTCCAAAATAAAAAAATAATAACAATGAAAATACAGAAAGAAAGACAGTTATTTATTTCCAAAGTTAAAGAAAATAATATCTTTTGATTCCCAAACTGGAAAATATTAAAATAAAATGTGAACTTATGATATAATACCATTAAAGGGTAAAAACTGAAGTGAAAGACTGGGAGAAACTAATCACTTCACATATAACAAAACACTTTTAAAAGAAAGAAAGGAGCTGGGAATGGTGGTGCACACCTGTAATCTCAGTGGCTAGGGAGGCTGGGACGGGAGGATTATGAGTTCAAAGCTAGCCTCAACGAAACTGAGGTACTAAGCAACTCAGTGAGACCCTATCTCTAAATAAAATACAAAACAGGGTGTGATGTGGCTCAGTGGTTGAGTGCCCCTAAGTTCAATCCCTGGTACCAAAAAAAGAAGAAGAAGAAGAAGGAGGAGGAGGAGGAGGAGGAGGAGGAGACGACAACACAGCAAGAGATTTGAATATCCATTTTATAAGGAGACACATAATGTTTCAATAATCATGTTCAATAATCATAAAATAGCTCAATATCTTTAGAAATCAGAAAAAAGACAAAATAAAATCACATCTCTGAGACAGTATCAGTAAAAATATTGAGCAAAAAACTTTATGAACTAAAGAAGGAGTAAAAGTTGTTATTAAAGAAACTGGCTCTTAAAAATACGTGATCAGGGCTGGCTCAGCAGTAGAGCACTTGCCTAGCATATGCAGGGGCCCTGGGTTCAATCCTCAGCACTATATAAAAATAAATAAATAAATAAAGGTATTGTGTTCCACTACAACTAAAAAAAAAATATTAAAAGAAAATATATGATCATTACCCAGCAGAAGCATATGCTTATAAAAATTACTGTACATATGAACCATGATAACATTGAAGGATACAGCTGCATTGGTCCAAGCACATGAAACCCAGGGCATGGAGAAGGAGCAATGGATACTGGGGAAGAGATACATAGTAAAAGGGGGAAAATGGTTTCCAGGATCTATTTTTATCAAAGTGTTATCCACCTTGACAAATATTGTGAAACTCTGCATAGCTTTATGTAGATGTCTTATACATATGATATATTACACGTAATATTTTACAGGCATACATGTTAAGAAAGAAATATATACAATTTGAGAAAATAAAAAATATACATAAGGACTTAAAAGACTCAATTATACATACCATTTATGTACATGATGAAACTCATCACTATCATGTAAAAGAGACACAGAAGTTACTTTGCAATAATAAGGAATCATAATTCAAACAAAAATCCATAGGGGAATATATATGTATGTAAAAATTTTATGCATTTTTAATAGCAATTGAAAGGCCTACATAAATATAAACATATCAAGAATAGCATTACATGTGGATGGATGATGTGGCGAACTCTAAAGGAATATGTCTGACTTTGGGAGCACAGTTCACTGGTATAATGTGTTTATACATTATGGAAGGCATTGAAATCAAATTCCAGCACAACAGTAAAAGGTATATCTTATGGGAGTGCAATGTTGGGAATATAGAAGAATAGGAGGGTCTGCTACTAAATGATTAAGAAGAGCTGGGGTAGGCTTGGGTCTTAGTCCAGCCTTAGGCAATATGCCTTATAATTGGAACAGAATCACCACAGCCAGTGTCATCCTAAGAAGAGGAAGAGATATAACACCACATATATAACACCCTAACTCTAAATTTTCCAGTGGTTTATATCTTAATTTAGCTAATACTAAAAAGGATCTACACATTCATAAGAACTAAGAACACAGAAAAAGTGATGGTTTTCTATGTTCATGTAAGTGCGACTGTGGGCTTCAATCCTGGGATTAGGAGCAAAAAGTTAAATCTCGAAGGACTAGGCTTCTGCCTAGAAGAGATTTGCTAGGGTAATCTGACAACTAATGTTGCTGACAGTTGAGCTACTCTCTAGCCTGCATCAGAGTTAAAATGAGAAAAATACATTGTACCAATTGGAGTCTTTATGAGTGTTTAGCACTTAATGAGCTCCAATCTCTAGCTTGTTCCTGTAAAAATTTCAGAACTGCCAATATTTTTCTGGAAGGAAAGTTTTCCCTTGCCAAGTGTCTCAAGGTACTGGGTTCAAACCTTAGCATCACAAGAAAAGGCAAATGTTAAATGGGCATGATGTTAAAAATAAAGCAGAATATTAAAATTCCAGACATTCCCTCCATCTATAAATACAGTTAATAAAAAGCTGCTCATTAAGTCTCTCAATGCATTTATGACTGTCAAGCCACTTTGACAGTCGTAAATGCATTGAGAGACTTAGATACTTTGAACAATTTAGAAAATATCTATCTTCAATGAGTAGGAAAAGCTGGGGTACACTTGGGCATTCACCCTGTCTTGAGCAAAGTACCATGTTTGGGACCAAATCCCCAACAGCCTGCATCAACCTCAGTAAACAGAAATGGGGGAGAAGTGATACAAAAGTCTCTGAACCACTGAAAATGTTGTGATTTTTTATGGCCTTGAGAGTCTTTCCAAGTGCTTCAATAGCTGGGATCAAGGCAGACAAATAGCCAAATCTCAAAGGTGTCAGTTTATCTCTAAAAGACATTTGCCAGCATATTTTGCCAACTGTTGTTGCTGGCAGATTAGCTTCTCTCTAGCTTGCATTGTGGGTTTAACAGGGGAAAATACAGTAAACCACTAATAGCCTAAGCAAACAGTGCTGGGCTCTGCTTCATCACTACTTGCCCC